AGTCGAAATAATTGTACTACACTATGTTTGTTTTGATTCGCTATGAAAGATTGACTGATAAAATGAGGGGTTCGTGGATTTTCCTATGTTTCGAGGGGTGCATCGATTAGCTTAACAACGAAGATAGTACCAGAGCTGAGCAAAAAAGTTGAGTTCGGTCTTAGAGTTACCTCTATGGTGAAACTAACTTTTTAAAAAAATCAGTAGTTCAACAGGGGTTTCGTCACCTGCATAAACTATAACCATAAGAAGCAACTTACTACAAATTCAGGATATAATCTAAACTATATGTGGTATGGTCGCACCATCTATGATATCGTTTGTGTATGGTACCCGTTTATTAGGGCAGTGAGAATCTAGAAATGTAGCTGTTCAGTTGTCACGTGATATTTTTGAAATATTCCAGCACTGCTCATAGGCGTAGCCAGAGGGGGGCAGAGGATGGGCATCTGCCCCGCTAAACTCAGCAACACAAAGGGCGTTCGGTAAAATAGCATTCGGCCAAATTTTCCATAGTACATTTTTTTTCGCCCCTCCCTAGCTCGAAACCTGGGTATGCCCTTGGCACTGCTGTGCAGTCGTTTCCGGTACGTTTTTCTCAGTTTTTTTTCCACTTCCTCATCATTTCCTTGTCGTCCTTCGCCTCTCCTTTGGTCTTCCGAAGTTTGTGCTTCAATATGGTCCAATAGGTTTCGATTGGACGGAGTTCAGGATAGTTTTGTGGGTTCATGTCTTTCGGCACAAAATCCACAGAATTCGCCGCATACCACTCCTGCACGGTTTAGGAGTAGTGGCATGAAGCCAAATCGGACCAAAACAACGGTTTTGGGAGGTACCTACTTAGTTTTGCAATTCTCACCGTTTATGGTGCCTTTGGTCACGAATAGTTCACTCCGTTTTCCACAAGTGCAAATGGCCAGCCAAATCAGGTACTTTGAAGCGAATTTCGACAGCTTTTTCCGTTTGAAACGGTCATCCACAGCAAACTTGTCCTTACGCGTGAAATATTCCTGTCCCGGCAACTGCTTAAAATCCGCTTTGATGTAGATCTCATCATCAATTAATTATACAGCATCGGTATTTCGTTAGCAGCTTCGTGTAGAGTTTCCGGGGGCGTTTTTTTGCAATACTTCGCTGGCGTTCGACTCATTTTTCGAAGTTCTTCACGTTGGACGAAACTATGTGAGACATCAATTTTTTTTTGGCCAGGTTCTGCGTCGAAATGTTTGGATTCCGCTTGAAATGAGGAATCAGCACTCTCTCGTTTTTTGCGCGTTGTTCCCGGTTTTCGTCCAACTCCTGGCTTGTGGTCCACTGTCATCCGTTCCTGGAACCTTTGGAGGACCCTTGAGATGAATGATGTATATTCATCAGTTTTCACAAGGCACAATGCGACAACCCACACACTTGTAAATAACTTAAGAGGAAGAGGAGACAATACGTCGGACATTGATTTCTGGTTTCTAGATTTCACCCCGATACCAAAAAAACCACATTTATCGGTATTTGACAGTATTCCACAGTTTCTCTAAACCAAAGCCGCCATCTTGGATTTAAAGACGGCGTGACATTAATTTTCGGCATTTATGTCTCATCCCATTCTGAAAATAACCATATTTTAGAGTATTTGACACTTTTCCGCAAATGGGAAGTCGCCGTCTTGGATTTCAAAATACCACATCGATGATACTGTTCTTAGCAGAGTGGATCAAGTGACGGATCTTGGTGTCGTTTTGGACTCGAAGTTTTCCTTTCATTCCCATTATGCATCGATTATTTTCAAGGCTAATCGTCAACTTGGCTTCATCTCTAAGATTGCCAAGGATTTAACGGATCCACAATGTCTAAAAGCATTGTATTGTTCACTCGTAAGGCCGATCCTAGAAAAGTATGGGCTCCAAACGACGTATCATGGAATCTAAGAATCGAGAGTGTGCAAAAAAGATTCATACGACTTGCGCTCAGAAACCTACCGTGGCGTGATCCTTTGAACCTTCCAGTATATCCCGATAGATGCCGTCTGCTAGACCTCGAAATGCTTGATCGAAGAAGTAAGCTACAACAGGCTACGTTTATAGCTAAATTACTCAACGGTTACGTCGATTGCTCTCATCTTCTGTCACTGCTTGATTTCCGTGCTTCAAGTAGGATGTTACGTCAGCAATCCCTGATGCAATCGAGCTTTCATCGTACTCTCTATGGTTATAACCAACCTATTTGTGAAATGGTTCGTATGTTTGTATCCGTCGAGTCTGCGTTTGATTTTGGTATGTCCACACCTCAATTTGTGAATAGAGTAAGAAGACTGAACCTTATTTAAGACGAATAGTTTATTAATTAAGACAACTTTGTCAGATGACTTATTAAATAAATAAATAAATAAATATGTCCCATTTGTTCTGAAATCGGAAGCCGCCATCTTGGATTTCTAAATGGCGTTGCATATGAATTTTCGATGTGTGGACTTCATACTGATTACAATAATATCAATATTGATGTGTATTTGACTTTATCACCACTTCTTTTTAAGTCGGAAGCCGAATATCAATTATCGGTCTCTAGACGTCACGCCGATAGAAAAAATATCCATATTGATGGGTAAACAAACCACCCAACAATGATAAATTTTACATCCACGTGCACAGATCTATGCACATACGCTTAAATGAACCGAGTAATCAACAAAAGTCATAAAAACTGCGTGAATTTGGATCGAACAGCTTCGCTTCAATGCAAAAGTAAGTTCATTTGACAATGAAAGAAGAAATAAACACGAGTCAAGCCAAAACAAACAGCATAAAAACTGATCAAAAGTGGTTCAGTTGATGTTGACGGGGATCTGCTCGAAGAGAAGACAGAACGACTTTCAATTGAAAGTGATGGTTTCCAGCTTCATCGTCACTTGATGCTTTTCGATTGAAAGTGATTTTGTGGGGCCCTGGCTCTGAGACTGATAAGTTCGTTGCTCGACGAAAAGTACGTTTGATTGAGCTATATTTTGCGTCTGTTATGACTCAAATTTATGTCAAAATTGACGCTCGTATATGTCACTCTCAGAACACCTAAATTTGCATGAATTTTTCTAAGTGTGCAGTATTTTGCATGAGGGTGAACAACATTCTTTCGTGAACGGTTTGCTGATTTTCTTCCATCTCGACCGAAATCTCACTGACAACTGTACAACTGAACGGATGTTAAAATACACTCTAAAGATAAGCTGGACAATTTTTTTGTTAATTTCGATCAAGTATGGACTCACAACACAATTATTCACAAGGCAAATAACATGCTTGGCTTTATAAAGCGCTTTTGCTATATATTTCAGGATCGCTATTTATTGCCTATGTAAGATCAATACTGGAATATTCAATGTTACCATATTCATCATGGTCACCTTTTTCAATCATGCACGAAGAAAGATTAGAATAAGTACAATAACATTTTCTATTATACGCTCTTCGTAAATTAGATTGGACAACATTTCCTCTTGTATCATATGAAGCACGCTGCATGGTTGTAAACTCACAAACATTAAAAGAGCGTCGTAAATAGGCATTGGTTTCATTTGTATACGATATCGTTTCGCAGCGCATTGAACTTTTATCAAAATTAAATGTCTATGCACCTAATCGGCAACTCTGAAATCGAAATTCATTTGTCATAAACTATCATCGCACAAATTATGCAAAATATAGCCCATTAAATTGCCTGATGCTCACTAACAATCAATACTGTGAATCCATTGACGTTACAATGTCTCGGCATAAACTAGGACAATATTTTAACTCCATACTCAATTTAACTCATAACTTATAATATGAAAATTAGGGAAGCAGACACTGCTTAGTTTTTATTTACTTTTTTTTTATCTCTTTTCATACTATTAAGACAAAATTCAGCGGCGCCGGTGGTGTAGTGGTAAGCGTGATTACCTCTCACCCCAGCAGGTCTGGGTTCAATCGGTTCAGTCGGCACCATCTGGATGTTCTGAGGCATAACATCTCTGATCACGCCTTCCTTCGGAAGGGAAGTAAAGCCGTTGGTCCCCGGTTCATACGTTGATGGGTCGATAGGTAGGGTCCAGGTGTGGAAGCTGCCTCCCTGGCGTCGGTAGTGTGTGGCATACACTATCGCTAGTGTTAGAAAGACTTAAACTTGTGCTTAATCTCGGTTGAAACCCTTCAACTGGGGGCACTGCTGCTGAACTCACACGAGTGTTGGTGACGGCGAGTTGAAGTCCTCGTGAACGGCTTTCACCTCAACTCATCCTCTTTTCGCTCCCGACCGCCTCACAGGTAAGACGTGCCAAAGCTTGTTGCATCAAGCGCGATACCGTGCTGGGGGATTGCTGCCATTTGCATATTCACATTGGCGATCCTGCCAGTGTTTAATAAAGAACCCAACCAGAATCCCCCACGCGGTAGTAAGTTTAATAAAACAGTGAAAACCGTGACCACAAAGACAAAATGGCTGTTTGACGGGAAAAAAGTACAAACACATAAATTGCGCATTAGGACAACCGCCTTTTGTCCAGCTAAACTATGTTCTGCTTGATCGACGCCATTTTGCAATCGCAGCAAAACCCTTCTCTTGAAAAAAAAAGAATGCTTCAGCAGCCGTTTTCCCATTTTTGCCAGCTTGCTCTAACTAGCATTTTTGCCTAATCAAGCAGAGGTGATCGCTTTACAGGTTTGATACACGCAAATTGCTATAGCAAAGTGAGCAATTCATCTTAAGTTAGCTATATAGGAGTACCTCTAAGCAATGCAAATTGTTGAGCCACACAATATAATTTAGCATGCATCGGAAGTTTGCCAAAATACAATAGCAACGCAATAAAAAATGCATTATAGCTTGCCATGCATTAAAGCAGCATTGCCAGTCATTTATGTTTTTAGCAATTCTCTTATTTTAATGCAATCTAACTAATAAAAGTTCATTAATAATTGCAGGCTGAAAATTCGAAATTTAAACACATTATTCCAAAACAAGCGGAAAGAATGGCAAGCAACGGCAAATATATTCTGGCAAATGACGAAGCCCATTCAAGCGATGGAGAACTCGAGCAGGAAGCAAACCACAGTGGCATCGACGAAAATAACAGCGACCATGATAGTGAATGCTCAGAAACCGATAGCGATTGTAGCAAACGCCCTGGAAGCAGCAGTGATAGTGAAAACCAGGATGGCAGTGAGAATGACGGAAGCACTAATGACCGTAGCAGTGCTTACAGCACAGGAAGTGTTCGTTCTCTTATCGAAGACAAGTTGCCCAGCCCCACACAAAAAAACCAGCAAACTAGTAGCACGAACTCGGAACCCCAATCAAACCGGACTGCAGAGCAAGAGAGAGAGGATAATAGCACCAGTGACCGCATGAAGCAGATTGAGAAGGTCCTCGCCGATCTGACGAAAGCTATTAGCCACTTCGAGTCCAGCACCTCGCAACCGATGAATCGCGAAACTGAAAAAAGTTGGGATTTCAGCCGTGAATCTCCTAATGCCCAATGTTTATACTCAAACGTGCGCCCGAACATATTAAGCCCTTCCACAGTGGCGTCCGCCCCAATAAAATGTGGTCCGAGTGGTACGAGTTCATCGAAAACTTTGAAGTTGCGGTGTCCTTGCATAATGCGAACGATCCCGTGAACAGGTCAAAGTTGTTGTACCTTTCTCTTGGCCAGGAGTTACAAGCAATTGTCAAGGCTGCTAATCTGCGACCAAGTCTAAAGGACACAAACTGTTATACATCATTCGTACGGAACATTGAAAACCACTTGCGCTCAATGACGGATACCGCCGCCGAACACCAAGCTTTCTTACGGATGAAGCAAGAGAAAGGCGAATCTACCGTTGCTTTTCACGCTCGTCTAGTGAGAAACGTTAAACTTTGTGGCTACAGCATCAGCGATCAGAACCGATTTGTACGAGCGCAATTGCTAGATGGCTTGCGAAACAAAGAGTTGGTAAAGGCGGCACGTACCTATGGATACGAAACAAACTTCATTGTACAGTCATCCACTCGCGATGAAGCATACGAAGCGCAGACAGCAGAACAACCGGTTGACCCCAACATTTTTGAAGTTTATCAAAGCCATAAACATGGTTCGAAGAGAGTTAATCATCGACAATGGTCCAGCCAACCCCCTCCGAAGCTACGTCGTATGAATCCTGATTTCACGCAAATACAAGAACGGCATTCAAGTGCACTGGATCGAGGAAATAGTTCCAGACAGCAAATGAGAGATAATCGTCCAAATCGACAATGCGCTGATGTTAATTACAAGGCCGTCGCACACGCTGCCCAAGGTGTAACAATGCTTTCCATCGGAACCCGCAATGCCCTGCTCTATCCAGAAGGTGTAATACTTGTGGCCAGCGAGGACATTTTGCTGTTACTTGTCGAGTAGGACAGCTCAGGATGGTACAGCAAAACGCAAGATACTCGGACGGAGAATCTTCTAGTGAAGACATTCATGTTGACTCGAAACAGGTAAAGCAAAAGTAGTTGAATTCTTTTTTTCCTGAAATAAAATGCAGTTATATGCGTCACACACAAGTGTGTGGTATACATTATGATACACCGTATTCAGTGTGATGTGGGCTGAACTCTGATTGATCCACCCTGTATGCCAGCACTCATCGTAAGTGCGACTGAGGAGGGTCCGTCATCGCAACCGCCATTACAACTTCCTCTCGGCTTCCAATCTTTCCAGAAGTAAGACATGCGATCGGCATTCAGCGCTGGGTGATTCCTTTAGCCAATTATCAGGTATTCACAACAAGTAATCCCGTTTTATCACACAGTCTACCATAAATCCCTTTAACTCCCTTTTTTTTAGAGTATCAATGCTCTGACTTTGGATGACGCATTGATCGACTGCAGCATCGGATCAGGCAGTCCCATACGCTTCCTTATAGACTCAGGCGCTGATGTTAATGTTATCAACGGTAAGGATTGGTTGTACCTAGAACGTGAATTGCAATCGGGTTTAGCGAAACTTGAAATCATTCGGCGATCTCAAAAAAGATTGTACGCTTACGCTTCTGCAAAAGCAATGCCGATCAAATGCACATTCAAAGCAAAAGTTGAAGTACTAGGAACAACAAAACCTTCAATGGTAGCAGTATTCCACGTTGTCCCTGACGGGGTTAGATCACTATTGGGTCGCTCCACAGCAAACGATTTAAAACTGCTACATATGGGAAAGAGTATCAACACTCTTGAGATTCTTGACGATGACATCTTCCCAAAAATGCCTGGGGTTAAAGTTCAGTTTAGTGTGAACAGCTCGGTAGCACCCACTAAAAACGCATACTTTAACGTACCTGCTGCTTTTAGAGAGGCAGCACGACAAAGGTTGCATGCCATGGAAAACCGCGGGATAATTGAAAAGGTCACGTCCGCCCCTAGCTGGATAAGCGGCATGTCAGCCGTAGCGAAAGGCAAGTCAGATTACGCTCGTATGTGTCACTCTCAGAACACCTAAATTTGCATGAATTTTTTTAAGTGTGCAGTATTTTGCATGTGGGTGAACAACATCCTTTCGTGAACGGTTTGCTGATTTTCTTCCATGTCGACCGGAATCTCACTGACAATTGTACAACTGAACGGATGTTAAAATACAATCTAAAGATAAACTGGACCATTTTTTTGTTAATTTCGATCAAGTATGGACACAATTATTCACAAGGCAAATAACATGCTTGGCTTTATCAAGCGCTTTTGCTATATATTTCAGGACCCATAGTAATATTCAATCACGCACCAAGAAAGATTAGAATAAGTACAATAACATTTTCTATTATACGCTCTTCGTAAATTAGATTGGACAACATTTCCTCTTGTATCATATGAAGCACGCTGCATGGTTGTAAACTCACAAACATTAACACTCCGAATACGATGCCTCCGAAAAACGTGTAACGGCAAGTTTGCAATGGCACAACTTAGCCATTACTTAATGAATTTCAAAAATTGTGGTACCTTTAGAATTCCTAGGGTTTCTAGATGATTTTGATTGCAGAAAACTCGAAAATAGAGTCGTCTAATTTTTAAAAAACCGAAAAGAGTTGTTACACGTTTTTTTGAAAGGTGTGTTTGTAGGGTTCTGCAAGTGGCGCAAGATCTGTAATTTAGATTAATGGGCACAAATGTTCCCAATTAACCAGAATACAGTCATGGTTCCTATATATGGATCCTGGAGACAACAGAACGGTCCTCGAAAAATCCGGAACATCCGTAAAAATGGTCAATCCATGATCCTGATCCTAGAGCTCTGCGGTTTTTTTAAAAACATTAGGAACTGTGATATAAACAAATATTTGGGGTCGTGACATAAAATGAACCTGGATGGCCATGGGACCGTCCTCCGGAAGATCCGGAACATCCGTAAGAGTAGTAAATCCACGATCCTGATCCTAGAGCTCCGCGTTTTTTTATAAACATTAGGAACTGTGATGATAGAAAGAATTTGGGCTTATGCCATAAACATGAACCTGGATGTCCATAGGACCGTCCTTCGGAAGATCCGGAACATCCGTAAAAGTGATCAATCCATGAAACTGATCCTAGAGCTACGCGTTTTTTTTTTAACATTAGGATCTGTGATATAAGAATGAATTTGGGTCATGGACCAAGATGGCCATGGGACCGTCCAGCGGAAGATCCGGAACATCCGTGAAAGTGGTAAATCCACGATCCTGATCCTAGAGCTCCGCATTTTTTTTTATAAACATTAGGAACTGTGATGATAGAAAGAATTTGGGCTTGTGACATAAACATGAACCTGGATGTCCACACACTAAGATTTTTTTACAGTATACTGTAAATTTTTACCGAATATGGAACAGTTGAACTTTCGGTAATCCATTCGGTAATTTTTCAATTTACAATCCGTTCGGTAACTTTTCTTCGCTTATGGGCTGTCAAAATTTACTGACCTGTGGACTGTAAATTTTACTTAACGATCAGTAAAGTTTACCATAGCGTTCAGTATATGTTTTACCGAATCTACTGTACTTTTTTTTTCAGAATAAATCATAAACATTAGAATTTGTATTGATTAATTATTTGTTTCTTTCATTCACCAACCAAAAAATTCATTCGACTATTTAGTCATATATATTTTTAATAGGCATTTCCATATTGCGTTAGTACAAACATAATAAAAAAAAACAGTAATGAAGCCGGACTCAGCAAACCGTGGACTTTTGAGCTGAACTCAGCACTTTTGAAGAGGATATTGAGTTGCCTAACGTCCATGGCGTCTCAAAGAAATTGACCCAAAAATGAAAACTAATTAAATTTTCGGTGTAAATTTAACACTATCTAGCAAAAATAGTAAAGAACTTACATTCCACAACATAAAACCGAAGAACACTCAATATCGAAATGGCAGCAAAGGTTGTGTTTGACAGTACAAAGTTTACAAATCGAATGTAAGTTTTACGAAAATGCTGTACTTTATTGCAGTTTGTTTTTGTAAAAGTTTATTTTTACAGTACATTCGTTAACATTTTTACAGAATTGCGGAATCGCAACCATTTACAGTTTCAATCAGCAAATTTGATTTACAGTTTTCGGTAAATTTCTGCAAATTACGGAAATTCAGCAGTTATGATTGCGGAAAATTGGTAAAATAATATTGATTACAAAGCATTCGGTAAAAAATATATTTCACCGAAAAAATCCAGCAAAAAAAGTACCGAACAATATTTAAGAAATTTGGTGTGCATAGGACCGTCCAGCGGAAGATCCGGAACATCCGTAAAAGTGGTAAATCCACGATCCTGATCCTAGAGCTCCGTGGTTTTCTTGAAAACATTAAGAACTGTGGTGATAGAAAGAATTTAGGCTTGTGACATAAACATGAACCTGGATGTCCATGGGACCGTCCTCCGGAAGATCCGGAACATTCGTGAAAGTGGAACTGATCCTAGAGCTCCACGGTTTTTTTTTCGAAAACACTTGGAACTGTCATATATAAATTAATTTGCAGTCGTGACATACACATGTACCCAGAAGGCCATGGGACCGTCCTCCGCAAGATCTAGAACATCTTTAAAAATGGTCAACCCTCGAAACTGATCCTAGGGTTCTACGGTTTTTTCAAAAGCATGTGGAACTGCGATATAAGAAATATTTTGGGGTCATGACATAAACATGGACCCAAATGGCCATAGGGCCATCCTCTGGTAAATCCAGAACATCCGTAAATGAGGTTAATCAATGAAACTGATCCTAGAGCTCCGCAGTTTTTTCCAAAGACATTAGGAACTGTGATATAAGAATGAATTTGTGATCGTGACTTACACATGTACCTAGATAGCCATGGGACCGTCGTCCGGAAGATCAACAACATCCGTAAAATGGTCACTCCATAAAATTGAGAGGTGGAAGCATTACTATGACGAGCACCTCAACGGCGATGCAGCAGAAAACGAAGGTGGCACGGCAACAGACCTTTGAGCACGTGCAGAAGACGACAGGCTACCGGCCCCTGATCTTCAAGAAGTTGAGGAGGAGATCGGTCGACTGAAGAACAACAAAGCAACTGGTGTAGATCAACTACCAAGTGAGCTATTAAAATACGGTGGTGAAGCACTGCCAAGATTTGGGAGGAGGGGATATTACCGAAGGAGTGAAG